TATATTAGCAAATAAGATGAAACAAAATAAAAGAATCAGTGGACTAAAGCTGTTAGTGCTGAAGCTTCAGTTTATGCCATAATAGCATCTTACTTCAGATTAGAATTAGTCTGGTCTCCTGGAATTAAAGTCTCCTTTATACATGTGGTTTCTGAAGGAATACTAAAATATTCTCAATTTTTATTCTATATACTCAATATATATGGGGACCATCCTTGGACCCCTTTAGGAAGGTCTCCTTTTGTCCATGTCATTTAGATTATATGTCGATATTCTGGAGCAGCTTCCTTCTCTAACATGAGAACCTAGGGCAGAGAAGAGCAAACGCTTTTACTGTTGAACTCTCTGAAAACATTGACCTTACCCTGAATTTCATGTCAGTTGCTTACTGACTGTGTCATTCTGAACAGTGACCATGAGGTTAGCAGCCCCATATAAGAACCACCAAACTGTCCTGCTGCCAGAGGAAGAACTTCCAGTCTGCTCATGGCACCAATTAACAGTCCATGTCATCTCCATGGGGATCCAGATGGCACCTCTCTGAAGAATGTCCACAGTCCCAATAAATGTTCTTCACTGGCGTCCTCACCTTTCATTACATTCCATCAAACCAGCATGACTGGGAAACAATTTATTCAATTTATTGAAGTTTGATGAGCAATTATGTTGGTAAATATCATTTAGAAAAAAATTTGAAAAGAAAAAATTTTCAGTTTTTGGAAGCATGGAGGCTCTTTCATATGTGAGTATAGAAATAAAATGTTTAGGTTGGCTAGTGTAATTCCAATACCAGGGCTTGCTTTATGCTTTTATCAGGAAATCTGTCATCTTCATACTCTACATACAAGCAAATTGGGTCTGTTGTCAGGAAAAGAATGAATATGAGAGAGGAGTGTGCCAGCAGGAATCTCTTAGCCCTGATTTCCTGTGTAACAGTCAGCTTTTTTATAAATAGAACCTCATTCCATGCAATAATATAATATTAGTCTGTCACTGTCTTTGGCACAACAACAGGATCATGAACTCCTTGCTTGCTAGTTGCCATTTGAGCTCATACACAGAGCACAGGCTGTGATAATATTAGCTTGGTCAGAGTCACAAGTATGTCATTGCCAGAAACAGTTCAGGGTCTGTTTCCAATCTCTGAAAATGTCATATCTGCATCATTACATCCCAGGAGGTAAAATTCTGGACTCTCCCACTTAATATGCATGCTTTCACTTGTCACTCAGACCTGTAAAGGAAAATCCATGTTAGGGGTTCACATGGGAAAAAAGCTGTTACCAAGAGTAATAAATGTTTATCAGGCACGCTTGCATAGTATTTAGCTTTTTTTTTTTTTTTAATTGAAAAGTTTCACCAGCCTTCAACACCCAGGTGAAACAATTTGTTAGTACACACCTTGTAAGAGAATTAGAGAAAGGACTGGGGGAGGTCTGGGGCCATTGCTACAAAGGTACTAGTCCTGCAAATAGCTTTCTCAAGTGAAAACAAGGTGGATATTATTCTTGTAAGTTTTACATTTGCCCAAATAGTTCTCAGCAGTGCCAGTGACACTAATCAGTCTGTTACCAATTTCTCCCTGCTGCTTCTCATCCAAGCCCTGATTAGCTGCAGAGCCACTACAGAGGTCTGTCAACAGGATTGGGAAAGAGGTGCTGCTGGAATGCATCCACCTTGCACACAGACATCCATCTTCAACAAATACAGATTTAATTTTTTCCTTATTTGAATCAAAAAGCCTGTAAGAGTCAATGATTTAAGTCTTTTCATTCAGTAGGCAAGCTTTCCAAATCTGAAAGTTTCTGAATGTATTTGAAGTGGGGAACAGTTAGAACTGCAGTAGTGCATCCTTTTGCCTTTTTCACATTTCTATTTTGGTCGTGTTGTCATTGGATCAGTGGAATTTCAGACAAAGTAAGATATGGGACCTGTGTTTGTGTTATAAAATCATCTCATAGCAGTGTAACTGCAATTGCAACATCAAATGGTTTTCATTTCTCAAATTTTTATAAAGCTGAAAGTAATTTCCTTCTAGAGAAAATCTTCTAATCCTCCTTTGAAGGATTAAAATGAAAAAAAATGTCTTGCAATACAAAGTAGATCTGTAGGTGGATTTCATACCTGTCTTTTTGCTCTTGTAGCTGATAGATGAATTATTACCTGCTTCATATTATTGAGCAAGTCCATACTCTTAAGGGATTCAGTGCAAAATGTTCCCTCAGCAAGTGAAGACTTGAGGTTAACCTCTCTATGTGAGGTATGCCTCCTGCATCTCAAGTACAGACCAAGCAGTCACCTAGTAAAAGCACCTAAACTGTATAGGCAAAGAAGAAAATAATACCCTCTCATTGATGTCTCCCTTCATGTGAAGGGATCCAGTCCAAACACTGTTCACCTACATTTCTTATTGCCAAGAGAAAACCAACTTCAACCAACAGAATGAATACAGGAAATTTAGAGAGTATATCAACATGCACAGGAACTGAAGTGAGGAAAGATGAGTTGTTGGAAACCTAAGGAACTGAGCTGGGAGGCTGCATACTGACTTCCTGAGATTGGGGCCCATATTTTTAATTGCGTAAGTGGAAATGAACAAAGTTGAATTACTTTTAGGAAGTGCTAAGAATGTATGTCTGATGTGGTATGTAATTACAAAAAAAGAGATGTCAGTAATTCTTAATCATTCTAACACGATTAACAGAAAAAATCCCATGATCTATCTATCATTAACTGAGCACCGAGCTTCTTCGCATTCTGAAGACAATTAATAAAAATTGTTACTGCTCCACAGTAAATATTTTTCTGCAGTTACGCGGGTAAATGCAGGCCTCTTTATGAATGTCAGAAGTCTGAAAATTTTATGAATCATTTCAAAGAAGTTCCCCACAATGGGAAGTAGTTCCTGTGTGTTGACTGCAAGAATTCATCTCTCTGGAATTATGCATAGCCAGCTTAAGAAAGAAAATTATTGCACTGTTTGTCTCAGAAAGCTTTGGAAGGTCTTACGAAATCGTGTTAATGAGTTAATGCAAGGCAATAGGCAGCTTACAATTTGTCTAACCTGCATATGCTGAGTAAATCAGTCCCTACCTAATTGTCCTTGTTCCTATGCCTAATTGTCCTTGAAATTATAATGAGGTGCTATATTTTCATAAGTGTACTATACGCAGGTTTTATCCTACATCAGATGCTTTCTACAGATGTTCTTTTGAAGCTTTTTCTACAGCAGTTGTGTATCTATAATAGCCTTTTTTGCAGTTCTGCAGGTGGCTGAGCACTGGCACAGTTTTCTGATGGCTGTGGATCTCCTCCTTGGAGATCTCCAGAAGCCACCAGGCTCTGGCTGTCCCTGCTGGGGCAGCAGTTGGGCAGAGGGACACAGAGGGCACTGCCAGCCGCAGCCACTTTGAGATTCTGTTGCAGTATTTCATCATACCATACAGTGCAGATGTATTTTTGCTTTGAGGGTGTGAGAGGTGTGTGAAATGACTGCCTGTTCTTGTTCCCAAAACCACAGCAGCCATTCGTTGTACAACCCACTTGTGTAATCTATGGTTTTCAGACATGGGGGCTGGTTCAACAACTATTCAAAAGGTCAAAAGACACAATGTGCTATTTTCTATTAGCCTATGTACCTGCAAGTGTGTGCCACGTTAACAAATGTGTATATATGTGTGCATGCAACACACGACGCACAGCACAACAGTGTAACGATAAGACTTACAAAAGATGGTTTAGGACCCATCATATCTCATCAGCCATACTAAGGAAGCGGGATGTATTTGTGCACCATTCGAGTGCATTACACTGTTAGGAAATGTGGTTCCCTTGTGCTAGAAGGAAACCGGGTTTTATGTTCAGAAAACACTGGGGCAGGGGCTGTGACATGAGGTCTGTTGCCCAAAGTGGGACTGTGCAGAGGAGGCCCTGCTACCCAGCCCTAACCTTGGCACCAGCCAGGCAAGGGATGTCCCAGCAGCTGCTGGCCAGCAGGCAACAGCAGCACTGCTTCAGGAGCTCATTGTTTCTGAATAAAACAAGCCCATCATGCCATTTTGTCTGCTCTGCAACAGCCACCTTGGCCCCCAGCAGGGCAGTTCCCCCAGGAGCCAAGGATGAAAGCAAATTTCTGCTTTTTAAAAATTAAGGTCAGCTGTTTAGTTGTCACCCAGGCTGAAAAAAGAGTACCTGATCACACATCCTTTGCTCCCGTCCCCTGCATGGTTCAGTTGACCCTACCAAAGTGGCTGGTATTTGATGTCAGCCAGCTTTCCACGAGGGCAGAAGCTTCTTATATTTTTTTCTCGGTGTTAAAAGGATCAGCACTTTTTCATGTTCAAGATGTCATGTGTTGATTCCTCAGGTAAGCCAGTTCAGAAGTTGGCAGCAATGTTGACAGCTTATTTTTCCTTGCAGAACAATGTCATTACTTCTGTTTTTGAGGAGGGCAAACCTTATGAATAAAACATATTTCAGTTAAAATGGTACTGCCAACTTACCAAAAAAGTAAAATATAAATAAAAACCTTACTGTAGCCTACGTGTATTACAAGGTCTTAGATGGCCTGGAACGAGAGATAGGATTTCTACTCTATTATTCTCTGTCTTGTTTGCCTGACCATTTGGTGGTAATCCAGTTTTCCTTTGAATATTCAGCTTAAGAATCATTTTCATTTTTGTTTTGCGTGAGCCTTTTATAGTAAAATAAATCAGTCTCACAGCAAAAAGGTGATTGTGCTGGTACAAAATTTGGTTAGGGATTTGGGATGTAATGTTTTTTTTAAGCAAGGTGACGAGTTGGTGTTATATCATAGGGCTTTACACTAAATACTTAATCACAGCATATAATTGTGTGACTTGTTTTTAAGTAAGCTAGCTTTGAAGCTCAGGATGAAAAAGTGTGTTGCTTTAATGATAACTGTGAGGTTCTCATCAAAATGAAGTTTGGTCTCATTATCCCATTGTTCTCCTTTTCTTTTTTTTCTCCAAGCTGCCTGTCTCGTCCTGGGTTGTATGATTTTTCCTGATGGCTGGGATTCAGATGAGGTAAAACGGATGTGTGGTGAAAAGACAGACAAGTACACGCTGGGGGCTTGTTCAGTCCGCTGGGCTTATATCCTGGCTATTATTGGAATCTTGGATGCCCTGATCCTCTCATTTCTGGCATTTGTGCTTGGCAACAGACAAGACAGCTTGCTAGCAGAGGAGCTCAAGTTGGAAAACAAAGGTAGGACTGCTTTAGAAACACTACTGTTGGGTGGCCTCAAGAGTAACTGCTTTAAAAAAATTGTCTGCTTTATTTTGTTTTATACATAAAAATTAGCATGCTGGCTTACTTCCTAATTTTCTGGGAAAGAGGAAATGCAAGGGGCAGATGAAGTTTTACTTTTCAGCCTCCAAAATCCAAGAAAGTGTGAAATTGCCATAACTTCTGCATTATGTGTGACTTATCCTTAATGAGCTGTGGATTGGACATGTTTGCGTTTCCCACTTGTACATTGTTTTGTTAGCATTTAAATTCCACAGTCTCCATCTTTTTCTATATCCTATGCAAGACTTGTTCATTTGGCTCCCTTAGGATTCTGCATTGTAACATGAATGGCTGCAATATGGCATTACACTGTATACGTTAGCACGGCAGACAGGGAGGAGGGAGTGCTTGGCTCGGGAGATTTGCAGTGAACTAGTACTGTTTGTACTGGTGGACACTAGTGGGTTTACCACAAGGATCAGACCCAGGACTGAAAAAGAAACTTGGTTCTTGTTGATTGTATTGCTTTCAGTTAGCAAGCTGGGCTGATTTCTGCAGTCTCATCCCCTCGTACACCTCAGCACCCACAGCTGTGTATCTGATGTGGCAGACACCGCAGAGGGCACATCCCTGCCTTCTCCTTTTAATGGACTTGTTGTCCTTGAATCTGTCTAATCCCTCCTGAATCTGCTGAGACTGTCAGCTCCCACAACACTACATGGCCACCAGTTCCCAAAGCTCACTACTGACTGCTAAAGAAGTACTTCTGTTTTCAATTGATTCCCGATTAATTTAATCAGGTTTCCCCTAGGTCCAGCAGGGCAGGATTCTGCATTCAACTCATCTACCACCTTTGCAATTTTGTCGGCTGCTCAAATAATAGCAGAGATATTAGAAGCCCTTCAGTACTGAATTGGAAATCAAAAGCTGTTTGGCAGCCTGTGTTGTACAAAAATAGCTGGTCTCAGTCCTACTCCTGACTATTATCCACGTATCTGAAAGCACCAGCACACTGGCCCCAGTCTGCTGACTTGCAGACAGTCAGCACACTCAGCCCTAAGATAAATGGACCTGAAGATTGAACTTCACATACAGCTCCAGACCTTGTTAGAGCCTACTAATGTTGTGGGTTAGGAAAAGTGTATATTGCTTGCAATTGCCCCTGTACATCTACTCTGCAGGTACTGAGGGCACTTGTTTCAAAGACTGTCTCTGTAGCCTTTTTCTTCAAGGGTAAAATTCAACTGTATTTGAAGATTAAAAGATTTATAAGAAGGATATTGACAGCTATGCCACAAATGCCTTCAGCACCAGCATTGTGTTCGACTTGTTTATGCCATACAAAGCTCATGAACCCAAAAACTGTTTGTTTTTGAACTTGAACAAATGAACCAAACTTCATTTGTTTTGGCACCTTGTGAGCAAAACACAGCTTCAGGAGACTCGTCACCTCTCACACTGCTGGCACAAGCTCCTGCCAGAACATGTGATCCTCAGCGTGTCAGACAATATCATTCAGCAGCTCATTTTCCTCAGAAAAAGCACAGAAATGTACCAAAGCATTAGGTTCAATGCAAACCAGAACTCAACCAAAAAGGATTCACCCCATTTTGTTCTTCACAGTCAAGCTTAATATCCAACACTTTTTTAAACTGTCCTTCAGATGAAAAGAAAAAAAGACAACCTGCCTTCTAAAAAAAGACATCTCCCTCTTCACAAAAAGCTTCTGCCAAACAGTATCTCCCACATGGGGTGAGGCAGGGCAGGCACTGCTCTGACATAGGCTCTGTGCTTTGCAGGGGCTGGCTCCTGGCAGGCCTTCAGGGGCAGCAGAGCTGGCACCTTCACTGAGAGACAGGGCCAGCACTCTCCTTGGTATCTGTGGCTTCCTTCCTGGCCAAAGATCAGTACTTTTTCAGGGTGCCAGGGAAGAACCTACTGAGACAAGAAGGCACAAACAATTCCCTCTGGTGGTTTCTACAGGCTTAGGTGGTCAGGCAGTGGTCTGTGGATAGAAGGGGTGTTGATTACTTACAGCACAATGAAGAAGCTAACAGAAGATAAAGGGACAATGCTACAATGCTTGCCCTTGATTTGGCACCAAGCAACCTCCTGTCTGTACCCTTTGCACACAGTATGCATGTTTGTGGGCTTTGCCATTCATACTATAAACTGTGCCTCCTTGCCCCATTAGGGCTGGAGAAATACTCACCAGACTTAATCCACATGCAAAGTATTCATGCATCTCTTGTAAGTGGTCAGGTTATGAAAATACTGAAATATGCAAATATCACTAATGTGCTTCCCACACAGACAAGAAAATAAAATTGTGGATATAAGTAATTTAACCCTCAGCCTCCCTAGCCACTCTTATAATGGGAAGAAAAAGTCCTCACAAGAAATTGTCATGAACACTGAACACCCATCTCTTCTTTCCTCCTCACCGTCTGTTTGCAGTCTTGTTTCTGGGTTAGCACATCTGGATCACAAGCATCCGTTTCTCAAGGAGGAGTCCCCACTGTGCTGCTGTCCTCAACGGGCAAAAAGATGTCTCTGAACTATCAGTGAGCACTGGTGATGGGCTGTCCACTGGCTGAGAGTCCAGGAAATCCTCGTCCTTAATGTCCTTTGGCCACAGGTCTGGACAGCCTGTAGTCCATGATAAGCAAGGTTTCCTCTTAAGAGACAGTTGTGGTTTCTTGGTGGCTTTTCAGGAGAATGGACATGGGCAGCAACCAACACTGACTGTATCATGGAACTCCACTTGCCCTCTCAGCTCTTCCTCTGCCGCAGGGCTTTGCACCACGCACAGCAGTATTACGCAGTAGCTCAGCAGAGGGGAAGAGATTGTAAATTAAGTGTAAGAACCACAACTGTTTTCATTTGTGGAAAAATCCTCAAGAAGAATGAATTATTAAGCAATGATCAGACAGCTGGGCATCTCTTTTCTTAATCAGGCAGACGTTGTATCTGGGGGACTTGTTGCAGATCAGCTCCTGCAGTCTCATTAATGAGAGCTGCTGGGGGTTGTGAGCTGGAGCAAGCACCCAGCAGCACAGCTGCTTCTGAGCATTGGTGATGAGTAAACATTTAGAAGTATACAATATGCAACAGGATGGCAAAGAGGTGAGAAAAAGATGAAAAAAAGAGCAAGCTGTACTTCTCTGTAGACTTACCATGCTGAATTACCACCTGCTGTATGCTTTTGATTACTACAGTTCTGTGTATCTACATAGGCTAATGAATGCTCATAAATTAGGAATGTGACTGCTAAAATTATTCACCGGATAAAACAGCTATATTTTTGCAATACAAGAAAGTTTTCTTTTCCACCAAATGATAAAAATAATGCCTTCTCATTTCTCATTTGCTGGTGTTGGAGAGTAAACTACCATGTCAATTTCATGCCTGAAGCTCAAGTTTAGCAGACTTTTTTTCAAGTTACATTGTACCTAATGCATTTTCCTAATCATGCAAATTTTACACAACAATCTGTGCCTTCCTCATTTTAAAAATTGCTTTTTGAAGAAAAGAATATATTTCCAAAAGACCTTCGCATTAGGTTTATGCCACTAGCAAAAGAAGAGGTGAGAACAGTATTACATGGTTTACTTTAATTTACAGGAAATAATTGCAATGCCTTATGTAACAAATGACTTAAAGGCCTGGATGTTATTAAGCTAATGGCATTCAGGGTGATAACAAAAATAGTCAGGATTCATCTTAGCTTTAAGCTTCATCAACCTGATCAGCATCAGGCATAAGCCTCAATGTGTTGTGTAATGACAGAATGTAACATTTTCAACTCTAATGTCTTAATGACATAAAATTGAAGTTTTGCCCAAAGGGTGAAGAGATGAAATAAAATGTTTGCAAAAGAAAATGAAGGTGCAAAGCAATTATTTTTATGGTAGAAGGTGGTAATTTGGTCTGTATTAAGTGTGATAAATAAATGAACATTCAGAAGAAACTATCCAGTTAAGTAATATCAGTCAGACCAAGTGGGTGGCGCACTTCATGGACAGCAGTGCCTTTTCTGATGGATGGATGGAACAGCTTTACAAGGTGTGTATGCTTAATGTCTGACTCACCTTTTTTGCCCATATGGTCACAGATAAGCAACTTGCAATAAAAATTTCCCAGAGTTACAAGCCCATGGCTGAAATAGCTAAAAGGACCAAGGCAGCTAGATGGAAGATCTGAGGGATTCATCTACCCTGCAGTGATTGCAATTCAGACAGACAGATCCAAACTGCACCGAACAGCTCCCAACAGCCAATCTGTAGAGAGCTGGGCATGGTGCAGAATGCCCAGGAGAGTACTTACAGGTTTGTTGACACCTGTGCCCTCATTATTCTGCATTCTGGTGCTGCCAGTGCATGACAGAGGTTGTTGAAGGCTAGCTCTGTACATTTGCTTGTGCTGAGGTTACTGCAGAATACACATGCTTAAAGACAGAAGCTAAGGGGAAGGAAGGGGGCATGTTGGTGACAAAGCAGTTTTCTCTAAGAGCAAAAAAAAAAAAACAATAGCATTCTTGGAGAGGAAGGGAATTATCCTTATAAACAAGAATATTCTGCTTACATGGTTTCAGCTGCAACAGAAAACTGTCTTCAGAAGACCTGCTGTCTGGAGCTGAGTGACAAGAGGCCAGCAGTGTGCGTGTCCCATTGAAGTACTGTATGACAGAGTGCACATCAGCAGTCATTCTGTGAAAGGAAAAAAGCTCAGGTCATAGCACGTGTGCAAACTGCTGCAAAATTGCAAAGCCCTGCTTAGGTGCATGTAGTTCTCCTGGCATACATTCCCAAACATTCAAGTTAACTTGCTCAAAGCTAGGTGAAAAAACACCTGAATTTTGATACCCATATTAGTTTTCCCTTATATTTACAATGAACGAAGAGTTGCCAACAGCCTCTGCTAGTAATAAAGACAAACAAATCCAGTCAGAACACTAGGTATACCCTCCTATATCC